GCCTGACTATGACGAGGTACGTATAGCAATAACGCGGCTGAAAAACAACAAAGCCGCTGGAGCTGACAGCCTGCCAGCTGAGCTATTCAAGTACGGCGGCGAGGAGTTGATAAGGTGCATGCATCAACTCTTGTGCAGAATATGGTCAGATGAACGCATGCCCGACGACTGGAATTTAAGTGTGCTCTGCCCAATCCCCAAGAAAGGCGACCCCGCAATATACGCCAACTACCGCGGGATCGGCCTTCTAAGCATAGGTTATAAGGTCTAATCGAATGTATTGTGTGAAACACTGAAGCCCACCGTAAACGAACTGATTGGACCTTATCAGTGTGGCTTTAGGCCTGGAAAATCCACCATAGATCAAGTATTTACAATACGCCAAATCTTGGAAAAGACCCGCGAGAATAGGATCGACACACACCATATATTTGTCGATTTCAAAGCCGCTTTCGACAGCACGAAGAGAAGCTGCCTCTGTGCCGCGATGTCTGAATTTGGTATCCCCGCGAAACTAATACGGCTGTGTAAAATGACGTTGAGCAATTCCACCAGCTCCGTCAGAATAGGGAAGGACCTCTGCAAGCTGTTTGATACCAAACGAGGTTTCAGACAAGGCGACTCCTTTTCTTGTGATTTCTTTAATCTGATGTTGGAGAAGATAATAAGAACCGCAGAACTGAACCGCTCAGGCACAATTTTCTAAAAGAGCGTGCAATTGCTGGCATATGCCGATGACATCGATATCATCGGTAACAAAAACCCGAAGTCTGTTCTGCCTTTTCCAAGTATGATAAGGAAGTAAGGCGAATGGGTCTGGTGGTAAATGAAGACAAGACGAAGTATTTCCTGTCATCAAACAAACAGTCAGCACATTCGGGCCTTGGCACCCACGTCACCGTTGATAGTTTGAAGTTTGAAAAAGTAGACGACTTCGTTTATTTGGGAGCCAGCATTGACACCAGTTATAATGTCAGCCTTGAAATCCAACGGAGAATTACTCTTTCCAACAAGTACTACTTTGGGCTGAGTAGGCAATTGAGGAGCAAAGTCCTCTCTCGTAGTACAAAGATCACACTCTATAAGTCACTCATCATGCCTGTGCTGGTGTATGGCGCGGAGGCATGGACAATAAAAGAATCTGATGAGGCGGTTCTTGGAGTTTTCGAGAGAAAGATTCTGCGAAAGATTTATTGACCTTTACACGTTGGTGATGGCGAATATCGCAGACAATGGAACGATGAGCTCTGTCCAACGATATAGACATAGTGCAGCGAAGTATAATTCAGTGGCTCCGCTGGCTTGGCCACGTCGTTCGAATGGACAGAAATGCTCCTGCTCTCAAAATATTCAACGCGGGCCGCGATGCGCATAACAGAGGAGGAGGAAGGCCTCCTCTGCGTTGGAAAGACCACAGGGTGGCGCCGAATGAGCTATATGGTTTAAATGGTTTATCACTTTTTTATTTATGCGATTATTATATTTTTTTTTAAATACAGTATATTATTGGGGAATTTTTTGCAATTAGCTTTGAAAAATGATATCCTGTAAGTGATGTCTATTTTCTGCTTCGCACATACGTGCCCTTTTTAGCATATTTTCCATAACTTTTCGCAGAATTTCGGGTGTAATGGCCATGATTTCATTTCGAATACTGGTTTGGAGTTGGAGAATGGTTTTTGGTTTGTTAACGTACACTATTACTTTCAAATATCCCCAAAGAAAACTGTCAGGAGCTGTTAAATCTGGTGAAAGTGGAGGCCAGTTAAAATCGCTTGTGCGCGAAATAATGCCTTCGCCGAATATGTCCCTTAGCAAAGCCATTGAGGCACGTGCAGTGTGTGCTGTGGGTCCATCTTGTTGAAACCACAAGTTTGGATGGTTTTCCACAGGTGGCCTAGTAAAATTTTCCAACATCGTCCGATATGCAGCACAGTTGACAGAGATTGAGACACCACTTTCATTTAAAAAAAATGTGGACCAAATATCCACGATAGGTGTTCTTCCGGCACCAGGAAGGGTTCTTACAGACCCATTTTGACGAAAATTTCCAATCAAATGGTTTATTGCTGACGCTGTGGGTGCAATGCGCACATTAAAATGACGACGATATGCACGCTGTGTCAACACAATAGACCGTTGGTTAAAAAAAAAAAATCAATTATTTGTGCACGTTGTTCGATCGTGTAATGATTCATAATTAATTCCCCAAGTCTTCTTCACAAATTTCTGAAACAACAGAAAAAATAATTAAAAAAAGTTATAAAGAATTCAAACCATATAGCTCATTCGGCGCCACCCTGTAGTTTTAATAATTTTAAACAGATTTGGATCACAAAATTTCTTGTACGTCAAAATATATTCGAAAGACTATACTTAGGGCCGTTTTCACCATCTCTGGTTAACACTAATACAATGTTCTGACCGACAACGAAAACACTTTGAAAACGACTTTTGGGACTGTGGGCTGAAGGCTGTTCACACCGACTGTTGGTGTTTTCGTTGACATTTCTTACATCCTTTGTTTACAGTTTTGCGGTACAAATACAAAACCAAAATACTTTTCCTTCTATTTCTTTTCATTAACAAACTCTTACTTCCATGCTTATTTTATTTTGTTCAGCCAATTAACAATAAATCCGAAATGGCGTATTAAAGATGATAAAATATGACTTCCACTTCGATAGATAATCGAAAAAAACTAGTGCAGACACCGATTGGAATGAGTGGAACGTGAGTTTTCAATTGGTTTTCATCGAAAACTTGTTTTCGTTTGACAGATTTTACATTGACGAAAACACAAGTCTTAGGTCGAAAACCAGTTTTAGGGCCGGTTACTCAATGTCTGGTTAACACTAATCTCCGGTAAAACATCGTTATCGACGTTACCGACTCCATGTTATATGCATGGAGCCGAACACGTCGATAACGATGTTTTACCAGAGATTAGTGTTAACCGGACATTGAGTAATCGGCCCTTAGCAACGAAAACATCTTTTCGATGTCGGTCAGAACATGGTATAAGCCCCAGTTAAACATTGTTACCGACATTACCGACGTTAAGTGAATGGAGTCAGTTCCGTCGGTAACGATGTTAAACTGGGGATTAGTGATAACCAGAGATGGTGAAAACGGCCCTTAGGGCCGTTTACTCACTATATGGTTAACACTAATCTCCGTTTAAACATCTTTATCGACGTGTTCGGCTCCATGATTAGTGTTAACCAGACATTGAGTAATCGCACACTACTATTTAGTTTGCTCGATTTGTAAGCAAAGCTTCTCAGCGGTGTAAAACATACTATTCTGAATAACCTAAACGTGCGAAATTCACAATAGCACTATTCGAGATATTGACACAACTTAAATCCATGAGCGATGTAGACGTAGTGTAATGCATGAACGAAAAAGGCAATTGACAGTCACAATTGCCAACCTCTCATAGATTTTTCAACCTATTCAATACTTCAATAAAAATATATAAAAAAGGCCGTGTTCGTGTCAATTTTTAGGTTTCCAAATAATTATTTTACTCATTTCTTTTTAGAAACAATATATTCAGTGTTTATTTTTGTGAAGCCATTCGTTTATACTTAGATATGTATCTCGAATAAAATTTATAGGAAGCGAAGTTGTATACATTCAAGAATGCAGTTCAGCTAAAAGCGGCTAGATACTCTACGGAAAAAATCGTTGTCGGATGTGGAGCGGTTAGCCGTAATAGTGCCTCATATCAAAGCAAGAAGATTAGTAAAAGCAGAATAATAACTTGCGGGTTTTATCTGCCCCAAGTTCGCGGTCGATGATTGGTACTCTCATTTTGGTGTCGGGGCACAAGTGCAATGTTTACTAAGGTACTGCAGTGTACCTGCCATCTACATACAGCAGAACACAGTCGAAAAAGCAATGGAACGTCGTGTTAAGCTTAAGACCATAAACCCGCACATAACGTGCAAGATTTGTGGAGGTTACTTTATTGATGCGACAACCGTAACTGAGTGCTTGCATACATGTAAGTAATATGTTATTTAAAAGGTTAATTTCTTTAATGAATATTTATATCTTCGGGTAACAGTTTGTAAAAGTTGTTTGGTAAAACATTTGGAAGAAAAGAAAACCTGCCCCACCTGCGACAATGTTATCCATCAGTCACATCCTCTTCAATATATCAGCTTTGACCGAACTATGCAGGATATTGTTTATAAGCTAGTACCAAATCTTCAAGAAGGTTTGTTTTCATTAAACTA